GCAGCAACAGGAGCAGTCTCAGAAGAAGATGCTGGCAGCAGCAGCAGCAGCAGCAACAGAAGCTTTTGCAGCAGCAGCAACAGCTGGATACTATCCAGAAGAAGCTTGGGCCTTTGTCTGCCCCTGTCTCTACACCTTCCCCTGCTCCTCCTGCCGCTTCCCTTGCTCCTGCCCCTCCCCTTGCTCCTGCCCCTCCCCATGCTCCTGCCCCTCCCCATGCTCCTGCCCCTCCCCCTGCTTCTGCCCCTTCCCATGCTCCTTCCCCTGCCGCTGGCCTAGCCACACTGCTGTGTGATGGGGATAGGCGGGTGCAGGGAAGGGAGGCGAATGGGAGGAGGGAGGGGATGGAAGGAGAGAAAGGAAAGGGGCAGGAAAGTGCTGGTGGTGGAGGGAAGAAGGGTGATGATAGTAAGGGTGATATTGGTATGAGTGATTTTGACACGAGGGGTGGTAGCAGCATGGGTGAAAGCACTGCTGATGGTGTGCGGGATGGCAATGGGGATGTGGTAATGAGAGACAGTAACTCAGTCGAGGTAGCAGACTTGCTGCATCTGGAGCAAGAGGAGGAGGATGAAGGGGGGGACAGGATAGTATGGGGTGCAGAGGAGGGAGAGACACGGGGAAGACAGGACAAGAAGCCGTTGGGACCAGACAGCAGGAAGATGTGGGGCGGTGATGAATGGACTCAGAGTGGTGGGAGGGCGGAGAAGGTTGGAGGTGGGAGTGGACAGTCCTCCGATGGTTGGGCTGCTGCTTTAGATGCATCTCCGGTTTCTTCCCCAGCTGCCTCTCTGACTTTTGTTCCAGCTGCAGCATCTTTTGAGGCGCCTCAAAAGTCGACTGGTGGGAGGACGGAGAAGGTTGGAGGTGGGAGTGGACAGTCCTTTGATGGTTGGGCTGCATCTCCGGATTCTCCTTCACTTGCCGAGGCGCCCCAAGAGTCGTCTGCTGGGAAGTTGGAGAAGGTGGGTGGTGGGAGTGATGGACGGTCCTTTGATGGCTGGACTGCTGCTCTAGCTGCTTCTCCGGTGTCTCCCCCAGCTGCCTCTCTGACTTCTGTTCCAGCTGCAGCATCTTTTGAGGCGCCTCAAAGGTCGACTGCTGGGAAGTTGGAGAAGGTGGGTGGTGGGAGTGGTGGACGGTCCTTTGATGGTTGGACTGCTGCTCTAGCTGCTTCTCCTGATTCTCCTCCAGCTGCCTCTCTGAGTAAAGCTCAAGCTGCACCTCCTGCCTCTCCAGCTGTACCTCCGGCTGCTGCACCGGTTGCTCCTCCAGCTGCCTCTCTGACTACAGCTCCACCTGCAACTCCGGCTGCACCTCCGGCTGCACCTCCGGCTGCACCTCCGGCTGCACCTCCGGCTGCACCTCCAGCTGCACCTCCAGCTGCACCTCCAGCTGCACCTCCAGCTGCACCTCCAGCTACCTCTGTGACCACAGCTCCTGCTGCAACTCCGGCTGTACCTCTGGCTGTAGCGCCAGCTGCTGCTCTAGTTGCTGCTCCGGCTGCTCCTCCAGCTGCTTCTGTGACTACAGCTCCAGCTGTAGCGCCGGCTGTACCTCCGGCTGTAGCGCCCGCTGTACCTCCGGCTGTACCTCCGGCTGTAGCGCCGGTTGCAGCACCGGGTGCTCCTCCAGATGCCTCTGTGACCAAAGCTCCTTGTCCGACTGTACCTCCGGCTGTAGCGCCGGCTGCTGCTCCGACTGATACAGCTACAGCTCCAGCTGCTACTGCTACTGCTCCAGCTGCCGCTTTGTTTGCTGTTCTTGCTTCCACTCTTGCTGCTGCTCAAGCTACCTCTCCTGCTGTAGCTCAAAATGCTGCTCCGGCTGCTACGGCTACAGCCTCAGCTGCTGCTTTCACTGCCAAACCAGCGGTAGCCCCAGCTGTAGCTCGGGCTGCTGCTACAGCTACAGCTGCAGCAGCTACAGCTTCAGTTTTAACTGCTGCTTTGACTGCCAAACCAGCTTCCGCTCATGATTCCGCTCAAGCTGCCTCTCCTGCTGAAGCTCAAAATGCTGCTGCGGCTGCTACAGATACAGCTGTAGCTACAGCGCCACCTGCTGCTTTGACTGCTCCTGCAGCTTCGACTCCGGCCGCAGCTCAAGCCTCCTCTCCTGTTGTAGCTCCTACTGCGGTTCCCTTGGTTAATGTAGGCAACAGTGGTTGGAGTGGAAACATTGTTGCTACGTGGGACAGTGGCAGTGCTCCTGGTATGGGCTGGGGCAGTTACCGCAGAGAGTGCAGAGAGCACGAACCTGGTCGGGGGAGGAGTAATTCGGCTGGTATAGCTTTCGGCACCCGTGACACTTCTTGGGGAGTGGAAGGACGTGGTGTTGAGAGCTCCCTTGGTTCTTGGGAAGGAAAGGCAGTTGGTGGTGACGCGGCAATGGGTGGTAGTGATGCGGAAACGGGTGGTGGTGACGCGGCAACGGTTGGTGGTGACGCAGCAATGGAAGTGGCAGCAGCGCCATCAACAACAGCAGCTGTATCACCACCAGTGTCAGCACAAGCAGAAGCATATGATGCAGCAGCAGCATCACCAGCAGCAGCATCACCAGCGCTAACAGCTGAATCAGCACTACTGCCACCGGCACTAGTATCAGAATCAGAACCGGCAACAGTGGCCAATGTTTCTGGTAATGCTGCTGCTTTTGGTTTTTCTTCTGCTGCTGCATCAGTCCCACTCTCTACTGCTTCTCCTGATTCAGAGACTCTGCAGCAGCAGCAGCAGCATCAAGGGGTGGAGAAGAGGGGGAGGGAGGGGGAAATGGAGGAAGGAGAAGTTGGAGAAGAGGAGGTGGGGGAGAGATGGGATGAGCAGGGAGAGGAGAGTTGTGAGGAGGGAAGGAAATCTTCTCCAAAAGAGAAAATGTCGAAATATCAGCAGAAGAAACAGAAGAAAAACAGGAAGAAGAATAAGAAGTAGAGAGCCTGTAAGTGTTGTCTTTGTGGAGTCCCAATCTTTGTAAATAAGTTGTAAATACATAGTGTAACTTTACCATGGTTTTTTCATGTTGTTAATGTGCCTTGTCAGCCCGTTGCAAAGGTATCGGCTGTCTGCATAAACTCCTTGAGAAATGCAACTATTTTTGCATAGTTTATACTAGTTTTCACCCAGAGCTGCTAGTTCTTGGGCTGCCACTTCATCCTTTGCAAAATGACTCCCTCTAAGATGAGTTATCTGACTACTGCGTTTGAGTCAGACTAGTTTCACATTGTAGGCAACCGATATAGCAATTTGCCAGCGCTGGCATTCCCAAAACGAGTACAAATTCGGGAAACACAGAAATGATTTCCCAATGATTTCTATGTCGACCAATACACTGACCACGTCTGGCCGTCCTCCTTGGTCCACTGCTGTGCGGTGATCCACGCCTTTACCGCGCCGCCATAAACCCGGATTCACGCTTTACTAGTTACTAATATTCGCACCTAGTATTAATGTCCGCCATCACCCATCGCGAATCGTGAAACATGGCCGTCAACTCAGCATGCACCGTTTCTCGGGTCGCGTGCATTCCCCGTACCGCCATTGCAGAGCCCGAGGCTCCATGAGTAGCGGGAAGACGCGGAGAGGGGGGGAACGTGGTGGTGCGGTGTGTCTCTCCGCGTCTAAACGCATGATGACTCGTGCCTCGTACACCACAATCCTCATCGTAACGTAATTTATCGAACGAACAGACGGGGCGTCGAGGCAAAACTGATTCCCCAACTCCGTGTTTGAGGCAAGCAGTAACGCCTCATCATCAACGTTGTTGACGACAAAGTGCAGCTGGTCAAGCTTCGGCTGCGCCAGCTGTGTTTTTTTGTTAACGCCTCGAAACGCGCTGCGGCTGGTCATGCATCAGGTTCCGCGATATCTTGAGACCCCAAACCTTTTTCGCGGTTGGGGCGTATGCGCGAGGGGGTGTAGTTTCTCCCTCGGGTTTTCGGCATGCTTCCTACCGCGGAAGGATATGCAGCGCCGCGCACTGCATGGCTGCGCAGCGATTTTCTTGACAATATAAAAATGCACTGCATGGCTGCGCGCTTCGAACCACACTGGACTGGATGGGCACGCCGCGATCCGCAGCAGTCCCGCGAGTCGAACTCCAACCCGAACGAGATAGTCCGATGTATTTAAGCGGTTGAGAAGCTACTTTGCTCTGACGATCTAAGTGTCAGAGCAGCGGCTGAACCCTCGGCCTAAGCTACGACAGGATCTCCCGCTCGGCCTGAACCCCCAAGTGTCCCGCTCGCTAAGTGTCTGACCGACGCCATGGCTGCTTCCAATCAACCTGATTCATCTCCTCCGGCTGTCTCTGCTGCTGCTCCTTCACCTGCTGCCTCTGCTGCCGCAAGTGCTGCTGTTAGTGCGGTCCGGGCTCCTGTCCCCCACCTACCGCTCCCTTCATACGCCGTCCACCAGTCTCACAGGAAACTCTTTTCTGACACTGCTGCATTTGCAATCCCACCTCCTCCTCCCCTCGGTGCTGCTCGTGCGTCTGGTCGCCGAGTGCTGGTGGTGCATCGGGGGGATATCACCAAGTGGTTTGTGGACGGTGCGACTGATGCCATTGTGAGTGACTGTAAGGGGTGTGAATGTAAGGGGTGTGTAGAGGTGAAGCTGAGTGACTGCAAGGCGTGTGATCTCGGGGGGTGACACTGTTCGAGGAGAGAGACCGTGTTTTTTTCAATCTTCTCATATTCACGGAATTTCCGACAAAGCCTTCGCACCCTAATGCCTCGTAAGTTGACTGATAGTACGTTCCACCGCCTCCCCTCTCACCTCCCCTCATCCTCTCCCTCCCGTGTGGCTGGCAGGCTAATACCACAAACGAGAGGGCTCCAGGCTGCGCTGGCTTGGATGCCGGTGAGAAGAGATGAGGTGAGATGAGAAGAGATGAGAGAGAGAGAGAGAGAGAGAGAGAGAGAGAGAGAGAGAGAGAGAGAGAGAGAGAGAGAGAGAGATAAAAGAGGAGAGTGGTGGGCGGGGGAAGAGAGAGATTTAGGGAGCTACATGCTTCTTTCAACTCTCTTACACCCCCCCCCCCTTCCCTCTCTCACTGATTCACTCACGCCCCCCTCTCTCCTTCCCTTCATCTCCTTCCCTTCATCTCCTTCCCTTCATCTCCTTCCCTTCATCTCCTCCCTTCATCTCCTTCCCTTCATCTCCTCCCTTCATCTCCTTCCCTTCATCTCCTTCCCTTCATCTCCTTCCCTTCATCTCCTTCCCTTCATCTCCTTCCCTTCATCTCCTTCCCTTCATCTCCTTCCCTTCATCTCCTTCCCTTCATCTCCTCCCCTTCATCTCCTTCCCTTCATCTCCTTCCCTTCATCTCCTTCCCTTCATCTCCTTCCCTTCATCTCCTCCCTTCATCTCCTCCCTTCATCTCCTTCCCTTCATCTCCTTCCCTTCATCTCCTTCCCTTCATCTCCTTCCCTTCATCTCCTTCCCTTCATCTCCTTCCCTTCATCTCCTTCCCTTCATCTCCTTCCCTTCATCTCCTTCCCTTCATCTCCTTCCCTTCATCTCCTTCCCTTCATCTCCTTCCCTTCATCTCCTTCCCTTCATCTCCTCCCTTCATCTCCTCCCTTCATCTCCTTCCCTTCATCTCCTTCCCTTCATCTCCTTCCCTTCATCTCCTTCCCTTCATCTCCTTCCCTTCATCTCCTCCCTTCATCTCCTCCCTTCATCTCCTTCCCTTCATCTCCTTCCCTTCATCTCCTTCCCTTCATCTCCTTCCCTTCATCTCCTTCCCTTCATCTCCTTCCCTTCATCTCCTTCCCTTCATCTCCTTCCCTTCATCTCCTTCCCTTCATCTCCTTCCCTTCATCTCCTTCCCTTCATCTCCTTCCCTTCATCTCCTTCCCTTCATCTCCTCCCTTCATCTCCTCCCTTCCCTTCATCTCCCTCCCTTCATCTCCCTCCCTTCATCTCCCTCCCTTCATCTCCTTCCCTTCATCTCCTTCCCTTCATCTCCTTCCCTTCATCTCCTTCCCTTCATCTCCTTCCCTTCATCTCCTTCCCTTCATCTCCTTCCCTTCATCTCCTTCCCTTCATCTCCTCCCCTTCATCTCCTTCCCTTCATCTCCTTCCCTTCATCTCCTTCCCTTCATCTCCTTCCCTTCATCTCCTCCCTTCATCTCCTCCCTTCATCTCCTTCCCTTCATCTCCTTCCCTTCATCTCCTTCCCTTCATCTCCTTCCCTTCATCTCCTTCCCTTCATCTCCTTCCCTTCATCTCCTTCCCTTCATCTCCTTCCCTTCATCTCCTTCCCTTCATCTCCTTCCCTTCATCTCCTTCCCTTCATCCTCCCTTCATCTCCTTCCCTTCATCTCCTTCCCTTCATCTCCTTCCCTCATCTCCTTCCCTTCATCTCCTTCCCTTCATCTCCTTCCCTTCATCTCCTTCCCTTCATCTCCTCCCTTCATCTCCTTCCCTTCATCTCCTTCCCTTCATCTCCTTCCTTCATCTCCTTCCCTTCATCTCCTTCCCTTCATCTCCTCCCTTCATCTCCTTCCCTTCATCTCCTTCCCTTCATCTCCTCCCCTTCATCTCCTCCCCTTCATCTCCTCCCCTTCATCTCCTCCCTTCATCTCCTCCCTTCATCTCCCTCCCTTCATCTCCTCCCTTCATCTCCTTCCCTTCATCTCCTCCCCTTCATCTCCTTCCCTTCATCTCCTCCCCTTCATCTCCTCCCTTCATCTCCTCCCTTCATCTCCTCCCTTCATCTCCTCCCTTCATCTCCTCCCTTCATCTCCTCCCCTTCATCTCCTCCCCTTCATCTCCTCCCCTTCATCTCCTTCCCTTCATCTCCTTCCCTTCATCTCCTTCCCTTCATCTCCTTCCCTTCATCTCCTTCCCTTCATCTCCTTCCCTTCATCTCCTTCCCTTCATCTCCTTCCCTTCATCTCCTTCCCTTCATCTCCTTCCCTTCATCTCCTTCCCTTCATCTCCTTCCCTTCATCTCCTTCCCTTCATCTCCTTCCCTTCATCTCCTTCCCTTCATCTCCTCCCCTTCATCTCCTCCCCTTCATCTCCTCCCTTCATCTCCTCCCTTCATCTCCCCCCTTCATCTCCTCCCCTTCATCTCCTCCCCTTCATCTCCTCCCTTCATCTCCTTCCCTTCATCTCCTTCCCTTCATCTCCTCCCTTCATCTCCTTCCCTTCATCTCCTTCCCTTCATCTCCTTCCCTTCATCTCTTCCCTTCATCTCCTTCCCTTCATCTCCTCCCTTCATCTCCTCCCTTCATCTCCTTCCCTTCATCTCCTTCCCTTCATCTCCCTCCCTTCATCTCCTTCCCTTCATCTCCTTCCCTTCATCTCCTCCCTTCATCTCCTCCCTTCATCTCCTTCCCTTCATCTCCTTCCTTCATCTCCTTCCTTCATCTCCTTCCTTCATCTCCTTCCCTTCATCTCCTTCCCTTCATCTCCTTCCCTTCATCTCCTTCCCTTCATGCGCACTCATGCTATGTCACCCAGCCATCCACCAACCCTCCCTCCCTCAACTTTGTTTCTCTATTTTCCTTTCAAACCTCTCCCTCTCCATCCGTTCCTACTTTCTCGGTTCCTTTTTTTGCTTGCCTCTCCCCTGCCTCCCCTCGCTGTCCTTCGGATTCTCCATCCCTTCCGCTCGCTCTCCCTCTTATCGCTCCCTCCTAGCCCCTCTCTTCCCCTCAAGCCATCCACAGGGCAACAGAAGCTCTGCCACTACCTTCTCTTCTCTCGTCCCTACATCTCCCTCTGATCTCCTCGCTTTCCCTCTCCCTCCGCCCTCCAGCCATCCGCAGGGCGGCAGACCCAACCCTCTTGAACCTCTGCCTCGACTCTCCCTCCTCTTCTCTCCGTTTCCCTCTAATCTCCCTCTCTCCCCTCCCTCTCTCCCCTCCCTCTCCCTCTCTCCCCTCCCCCTCCTCTCTCCCCTCTCTCTCCCTCTCCCTCTCTCCCTCTCTCCCCTCCCTCTCCTCTCTCCCCTCCCTCTCTCCCCTCCCTCTCCCTCTCTCCCCTCCCTCTCCCTCTCTCCCCTCCCTCTCCCTCTCTCCCCTCCCTCTCCCCTCTCTCCCCTCCCTCTCCCTCTCCTCCCCTCCCCTCCCCTCTCCTCCCCCTCCCTCTCTCCCCTCCCTCTCTCCCCTCCCTCTCTCCCCTCCCTCCTCCCAGCCATCCACAAGGCAGCAGGCCCAGCCCTCCACAAGCTCTGGTTTGACCTGCCAGTGCTGAGGAATGGCAATCGCTGCGAGACAGGAGATGCTGCTGACCACCGGGTGAGTGATCACTGTGATCACCTGGGCTGGGATGATGTGATGTGATGTGATGTGATGTGATGTGATGCGATGCGATGCGATGCGATGCGATCACAGAGTCCTATTTTCTGTAGCAAATTCTCTGCAATGCAGGGCTTGCTGTTGACCACAGGGTGAGTGATCACTGTGATCACCTGGGCTGGGATGATGTGATGTGATGTGATGTGATGCGATGCGATGCGATGCGATGCGATGCGATGCGATGCGATGCGATCACAGAGTCCTATTTTCTGTAGCAAATTCTCTGCAATGCAGGGCTTGCTGTTGACCACAGGGTGAGTGATCACTGTAATCACCTGGGCTGGGATGATGTGATGTGATGTGATGTGATGTGATGTGATGTGATGTGATGACAGAGTCCTATCTTCTGCAGCAAATTCTCTGCAATGCAGGGTTTGCTGTTTACCGTCGGGATGATGTTATGTGAAGAGTCTTGTTTTCTGCAGCAATTTCTCTGCCATTTCTCACGTTTTCTAGCCGCAATTGAGCCTTGAGGCTCATCGGAAATCATGCTGAGGTACATTGGATCCACCTTTCAGATTCGATGTATCGCTCCTATTCACCTGCCTCTTCGCCTCTTCCCTTCTCCCCTACCTGCCTCCCCACCTCTCTCCTCTCCTCTACCCACCACACAACCCCCCCCCCCCCCTCTGTAGCGCTGCCAACCTACCCGTGCGCTGGGTGATCCATGCAGTGGGGCCGAGATGCAACGTGCAGCATCACTGTTTTGCTTTATACTCTCTCCTACGCTCGCTCTTTCTCGTCTCCTCTACCCACCGTATACCCCCCCTGCAGGGCTGCCAAGCTGCCAGTGCGCTATGTGATCCATGCGATGGTTGGGCTGGTTCCATCAGGGATGATTTGCTTCCACCTCGGTCTGTGTCTCTTCTACCCACCCTGTATCCCCCCCCTGCAGGGCTGCCAACCTGCCAGTGCGCTGTGTGATCCACGCTGTGGGGCCTACGTATCATTCAGATGTTCTGTCAGCGCCCCTGCTGAAAAGCGCCTACCGGTGAGTTTCGTTGCATATAGGGATTTCTAGCGGTGGTGGAGCCCACGTATCATTCAGATCTTTTGTCCGCGCCCCTGCTGAAGAGCGGCTACACACCCTCACCTTCCCCCCCTTCACCTTCCTCCGCCCCTTCCCCCTCCCCTTCCCCCCCGCTGCCTCCTTGTTCCTCCTCTTTGAAGCAAGAGATTTTCTTGACTCATCTATCCCTCACCCCTCTCACTCACGCATGCGCACCCACCCTTACTCACTCCATCTACTCAACCACATGTTTTCTCTGCCTTCGTTTTCTTTTGCAGGAGCATTCTGAAGGAGGCTACCAAGCATTCAATCAAGCACATCGCCATACCCATTTGCACACACCCTCACCCACCCCTACCACTTAACATGCTTTCTCTCTGTTCGATTTCCTTTCCTCCGCACAGGAGCATTCTGAAGGAGGCTAACAAGCATTCAATCAAGCACATCGCCATACCCATTTGCACACACCCTCACCCACCCCTACCACTTAACATGCTTTCTCTCTGTTCGATTTCCTTTCCTCCGCACAGGAGCATTCTGAGGGAGGCTAACAAGCATTCAATCAAGCATGTCGCCATACCTGCTATATCATGCGGCAGTATGGGGTACGGCTGTTCTTTCCCCTGAGTGTCCATATGTGCGCATTTCTCTTGCAGAGTGGTCATCATCCAAATCATTCTGTGAATATTTTTGTATGTTTTTGTTGTTTATGTATATATATATATGTATATATATGTATATTTATGTTTATATATGTATATATATGTGTATATGTATAGAATAGCGCGGTCTCATCCCCTCTTTATCTCCAACTCTCTCCTCCTTATGTATGCTCCTTCCGCTGCTGTGATCTCCCCAGCTACCCCCCTACAAAGGCCGCCCAAGCAGCAATCGAGGTCTTGTGCAACGAACCATGGGGGTCAGTGCAAGAGGTTTTTTCTCCTTCTCCTCTTCCACTTCTGTGCAAGAGGTACCTTTGATTCCCAACCGCTCCTCTGCCCCTCCCCCTCCAAAGCCTCATTCAGTCGTTTTAGGGTCAAGTATTTCCAGAAGTGACAAACCATGGGAGTCCGTGCGGAAGGAAACTCCTTTTCCTTCCCCCCTCCTAGCTTCTCCGATCGTCCTCCTCCCTTCTCCTATCTTATCTACTCCCCCCTTGCTCTCTTTGCCTTCCCCTCATCATTGTCGTGCTTTTCCTCCTCCTCCACAGGTGCACTTTGTCCTGTTTGACAATAAGATCCTCAACAACTGGCTTGCTGCAATCCGTGCTGCCAACCTGGCGCAGCTGCTGCTGCAACAGCCGCTACCGCTGCAAGGGCCACCATTGCCATACGAGTCAGCACAGCAGCTGCCAAAGCAGGCAGTATATGAAGCAATGGGGAAGAAGGCAGAGGAAGGGGCATTACCCAAGACAGCACGGCAGTTGCTGCAGCAAAAGCAAGAAAAGCAGACTCAGTCGCAGCCTCAGATGTTGCAGCAGCAACAGCAGCAGACAGAAGCGAAACTGAAGCAGCTGGAACTGAAACAAAAGCAGCCGGAACCTGTTTCTGGTATGATTCCTCCTAGTCGCACCAGCAGCTATGCTGCGGCTGCTAGCACTGCCACCCCTGCTGCTGATACCAGTGCTGCTGCTGCTACGCCCCATCGTGACTTTTGAGTCAGACTCAAAAATCTGCTTCTGGTTTGCTTGCTTCTGGTGGCACCAGCAGCTATCCTGCCACTGCACGCACTGCCTCTGCCACCCCTGCTGCTGATAACAATGCTGCTGCTGCTGCTGCTGCTGCTGCTACCCCTAGCTCCCTGTGCAGCCGAAACCCCAACCAAAGATTGCACCTCTCCCAAGGACTTCCAGTCCATCGCTGCTGCTCTCCCCCAGCCTAGCTCCCATCCACGCCCGTGCGTCTTTTCCAAGTTCCAACCCAGATTTCCCCCGCTTCTTAAGTGATATCGTTTAACCTATACTGCTGCTTCTCCGCTTTCAGAGGGCTGCTGCTGCTGTGCTTTGATAGCAAGACCTTCTTTTGGCGGTATCTGTGTGTGCAGCTTCACCATTGTAAGTAGTGCTGTGCTGTATGTAAGAGTAGCTTTTGCTGAGTGAAGTACAACGACAATACTGACAGGCAATGCGCAACAGAGATGTCGATATTAATCAGTGACCTGTTTCTGTTTCCTACTGAGCTAAAAAACGTAGTGAACAGTCAGATTATTGCACATCTGCACAAGCAGATTCCAGGGTTATGCATTTTTTTCATGACAAGAGTCTCCAGCACCAATCTGTACTTCTGTATCATCTACATCTGAAAGGGCTTCAAATGTGAGAGCAGAGTCCTGTAGCACTATCATGTCAAGAGCAAGGAGAGACCGAAACTGCAAGAAATGGTGATGTTGGAAAGACAGTAAACTAAACTAGGGAGCATAAAAATCAGAGGAAGGATGGATCACGAAACGAGTAAACACTTCACTTGCACTTCTCCGAGCAAGGCTGGAATCTGCCCAACAGAAGCAGCAGCAGCAGCCTACAGACACCACTTTCCAGCTCTGGTTGACCTTCCCCAAGCCTAGGAGCATCACGACTACACAGCTGCTGCATCAGATCCAACCAGCAGAAGCGCCGACAGCAGCAGCAGCAGCAGCAGCAGCAGCAGCAGCAGCAGCAGCAGCAGCAGCAGCAGCAGCAGCAGCAGCAGCAGCAGCAGCAGCAGCGAAATCCGAGACCAGCTTACGCTTGTCCCGCAGCAGCAGCCACTTCAGCAGCGAAATCCGACACCTTCTTCTCAATCCCCTCCCCGAGCGTAAACCTCTCAAACCGTCTCACGCGAATGTTCTCCCCCAGGGCCGCCACCACCTCCTTAACCACCTCTTTCACAGTCACCTTATCATTCTTGATAAACGGCTGCTCCAGCAGAGCCAGCTCTGAGACGCGCTTCGCCAGCCGCCCGTCCACAATCTTCCCGCGCACCGCCTCGGGCTTGCTCGCCACATCCTCCTTCCCCATCTCAATCTCCCGCTCCTTGGCGAGCCAAGCCGGGTCCACATCCTCCTCGCTCACCACCTGCACGCCCGGGCACGCCACGACCTGCATCGCAAGGTCGTCCACAAGCTCCCGGAACTTCTCCCCGCGTGCGACGAAGTCCGTCTCGCAGTTGATCTCGATCAGCGCGCCGATGCGCCCGTCGTGAATGTAGCTTCCGACGATGCCCTCCGCGGCGATGCGCGATGCCTTCTTGTCCGCGCTCGCGAGGCCCTTCTTGCGGAGGAGTTCACGGGCTGAGTCCACGTCTCCTCCGGTGGACTCGAGGGCTTTTTTGCAGTCCATCATGCCGGCGCCGGTGGCGTCCCGAAGCTGCTTCACCGCGGCCATAGACACCGCGACCTTGGGCTTGTCGGCAGCAGGCTCGGGCGCAGCTTCGGCGGCTGGAGCAGCGGCAGGGGCGGGAGCAGCAGGAGCCTGGACCTGGCTGGCCGCTGCAACCTCCGCTGCGAAATCAGCCGATTTCTTCTCAATCCCCTCCCCAAGGTTAAACCGCACGAAGCGGCGGATGCGAATGTTCTCCCCGAGAGAAGCAATCGCCTGCTTCACCACGTCCTTCACCAACACCTTGTCATTCTTGATATACGGCTGCTCCAGCAGAGCCAACTCATTCAGCCGCTTCGCCATCCGCCCGTCCACAATCTTCCCGCGAACCGCCTCGGGCTTGCTCGCCAGATCCTCCTTCCCCATCTCCACCTCCCTCTCCTTCGCCACCTGCTCTGCAGGCACGTCCTCGACAGATATCACCTCCACCTGAGGGCACGCTGCCACCTGCATGCCCAAATCCTCAACCAGCTCCTGGAAGGCACTCCCTCGGGCAACGAAATCCGTCTCGCAGTTCACCTCGATCAGCACCCCGATGCGGTCCGAGTGAACGTAGCTGCTCACGAGCCCTTCGGACGCGATGCGGGAGGCTTTCTTGTCGGCGGAAGCGAGGCCCTTCTTGCGGAGGATCTCGCGGGCAGTGTCGAGATCCCCGTTGGCGTCAGAGAGGGCCTTCTTGCACGCCATCATGCCGGTGCCGGTCTCCTCCCTCAGCTGCTTCACCACTGCCGCTGAAATGCCTGTAATGGACGGGGTGGCACGGGGGAATGGGAGAAAATGGGGGAGTTTTGAGGGCCTTCTTGCATGCCATCATGCCGGCCCCGGTCTCCTCCCTCAGCTGCTTCACCACCGCCGCTGAAATGCCGTCTGCTGCTGTGAAGAGAGGGGGGAGAGAGTGGGGTGTAGGGGCGATAAAGACGCGTCTACATGCCATCATGCCGGTTCCCGTCTCCTCCCTCAGCTACTTCACCACTGCCGCTGAAATGCCACCTGTTGGTGCAACCAAAGCATTGTGAGGGATGGCACTGGAAAGCACGGAATATGATGGTTGGGAGTAGTCAGGTTCGGTGAGCAGGGGTAAGAGAGAGCGGAGGAGTCTTAGGATGGTG